TTGAACTGGCAATGGCGGTGGGTGGGAAAGGCTTGAAGTCTCCCCAGCATCCAGCCAGTGTCAGGAGCACTGTCTTCCCCACCGTCGTACTCAGCAGCTCTGCTAGTAGTCCCATCCTTCAAGATCCCTCCCTCCCAAGTCCACCCCACAGGGCAATTCTGGACAGGATCCAGGGAGGCCCAGGAGGGGAGCCCTGGATCTGTTGGGAGGAGCACCCTGGGTGTGGAAGGAGGAGCCAGGTGTTGATCCAGTGGCCTCCAGATATTTCCCCTCTGGGCCACCACGTTGCCTGAGATTCCTCCATTGTCAATGTCCCTTTGTCAATTTGGCATTGACCCTAATGAATCGGTGCCGAACAGCATGGCAGAGGAAAAGGCCTGGGCTTGAGGTTCTCACAAACCTGGCTTCCTGTGAGCTCTGCAGCTTGGGCTAGAGGCCTGCCCTCCCTGACTCAGTTTGCTCCTGTGTTCAATGGACGCCTTCGCTCCTCTGGACGCCGTCACTCGGGTCTCCAACAATCCCACGGCTCTGGCCTAGAGAACTGAGGGAGGCTGGTGGGAAGGCTTTGGGCATGGTGATGCAGGGGAGCATCTGACACGAGCAGGTGCACTTCACCTAGACTAGAGGACACAGTGCGCATGCCTTTATCTAGAGGCCCCGCCACACAGTAGGAGTGCCTTGTGGAGAGTGCCTTGCACACAGTAGGCATTTTTTATGTCAAGAACTTTGCACTAAGTAAGTTTATGCAGAGCACTCGACACATGGAAAGAACGCTTTATGTAGAGCATCTGGCACACAGTAGGTGCCTTATGTAGAGTACTGGACACACGGAGTCACAGTTTCTGAAGAATACTCAGCACCCACAGTAGGCACGCTTTGTGTGGAGCCCTTGGCACACAGTAGGTGCACTTTACATAGATCACCAGGCACACACTAAACATGCTCTGTGTAGAGCATCTGACACACAGTAGGTGTGCTTATAGAGCAGCAGGTGCAGAATAGGTACACTTTACATAAGTTACTCTGCACAAATTTCACTTTATGTAGAGGACGGAGAACACAGAGGCAAGATTTTCTGTAGTGTCCAGCACACAGTGGGCACACTTTACATGGAGCGCCTGGCACACGGTACACAACATGTACACAGAGGACCTGGCACATGTACGTGTGCATGGAACCCAGCACACAGTAAAAGTACTTTGCATATGGTCTTTTGCAAAGAGCAGAGACTGACACGCAGCAGCCAAGGTGCTGGCTGCCAGCCCCTTCCCCTCGCTCCCTGTTTTTCAGGCTCCCTCCTCAAATCCTTCATCTGTCCCCATCTAAGTCCCATTCTCCTGCGATCCCTCCTGTGTCCCCCTCTAAGGCCTCATCTGACATCCCATTTCCTAGA